ACTCTATATCTTAAGTGCCTATAATATAAATGAAAATTAGAATAAGCCAATCTTCGCTATTCTATTCTACAGTAATAAACTGCCTATTTTTATGCCAAACAAACTATTTTTGTTTTAGTCAAAAAATAATCATTAAAAAAGCATCTGAAAATAATTTATGATGCAAACCTGAATTGAAGAAAGATTGGAATGCCGAGTGACATATAAACTACCAACTGGAAGTAGTAACTCATCATCATTTGTCTCATGATGAATATCTTCTTTTGTTTTCGAAATCTGGAAAAAAATAAAAGTATCTGAAAACCAGATTAATGAAAATGCATAAATGTGCTGTTTACTTTACAGTGGCAATGCAATTTCTAAGGATGCCTCTTTCCACATGTACACAAATCAGATATTCCCATTTCACTTATTCCATTTTTCGATTTTATTGATGTGTATTACGGTATTTCTTTCCTTTCATACTTCTCTATTTCATCTTACATTAGCTAGAACACGTGCTCTTTTAGACGTTTTAAATTCGAAAATATCCGGAATGTAATAACAACTCTTTCAGCAATCAAAAATGACTATTTCAATTGATGACTTAGAAATGTGGTATAAGGGTTTCATATTTTGCTGGTGGTTATCATATCAAGTATCAAGTTTTGCAAAACAATTTAACGTCTTTTAGATATCCTGAATCAGAACAAATTTATTTAATATTTATTTTAATCCGAGCAACCAAAAGACGATAATTTGCAAAATAAAATAGCCTAGCATATATACTAATGTATTGGAAGCATAGCATTCAACATTTAAAATACGTCATTCCACATCAAATAATACTCGATTACTTTAAATGATTATTACCTATAAAGTAAAATATATTATCTGATTAATAATAAATATTAAAAATATGTTCCACGGGATAAACTTACCAATGGTGTTACTTGTTTTAATTGATCTTCAAGTGATTCGAAATGAAGTTCAGTGGAATGTTCGCATAATCTAGAGAAATCTAAAAAATTTTGTACAATTGCTAAGCCATCAACCAATCTTATATATTCCTTCGAACAAAAGAAAAAATTTATTTGAAAAAATTCATCCCACTGTATTAGCCAGAAAAATAAGACCACAGTGATATATTATTTCCTAGGTAAGCCAGAAGATATTTAAGATCAAATGAAGTCATGATTTGAATTTTTGCAATTTAAAAATGTAACCTGTTCGTTCACTGATATGAAACATGGGATCTCTTTCTACCAGAAGTACTAGGCCACTTAAATTTCTACCATATAAAGTAAGATTCATCTGTAGCCGCTGAGTAGCAGAAGCATCATCCTCAAACAGTACAGGAGATCGACACAGATTTGTCAAATCTGGGGAAGTCAGCAGTCGAGCATTATGCATTGTTTTTAACTGTGCGCCTAAATTATCCGACATTCAATTACAGTTATTAGATTTCAATACTCGAAAGAACGACATGATATTTTATATGATGAAAATAATGTAATTTGAAACAATAAGCTACCCAAACAATAATACACTTCTTGTATCACCGGTAAAAGTATTTCAGCCAAAAGCACAAATCATACATGAAAAATTTTACCATTAATACAATAAAACAATTGATGTGCTGCGTTCAAGTATTTTAAATACAAAGCGGATTAATCAAAAATTTCCAGTATAGTAATAAAGCGAATCAGAGGTCACACAAAAGAAATTCTAAAGAACAAAGGAAAGAATTACCTAGATATATTGTGAAACTCTCATCCAATGAGAACTTAGTTTGTGTTTTGATCGCATCGAAATTTGAAGCTGTTGACAAAGACCTTAAGTAGGTTAAATTTCAAACAACAGAAATAAATGTGTACCTCACTTTAACCATTATAAATCACTGATAGACATATTCAGTATTTTCCCCTCTTACTAATCCAGTTGATCGGATAATTGGTAAAAAAGCTAAAAATTTCCGAAAATGCTGAATTAATATGTAACACATAAATCAAAATATACTATTAATTTTTAAGCAAAAATACGAATAATCACCATTCAACTTTTCATCTACTTCACTCATTATTATTATCTTCTGTAATTTACTTGAACTTGACAATGTTTCACTGTTTCAAACAGTCACAGTGTCTCATTTGTCACTGTAAGTATGAAAAAAATTATTCAATATGTAGCCTTTGTATTATAAGTACTAAACAATAATCTAAGCAAGATCTGCTAAAAAATTAACTTTATATTGATAAGAAGGAAAAATATATCAAAAGAAAAATACTTTTTGATTGCAGTCGTATGACCAGAGAGGACAGCTTCTGCTTCAGCTGGGAATTCATCATATTCGTACAAATTTCTAATCAAGTTTCGATAGAATTTACGTTGCCGTGATGTTAAGATACGAATTTGCTCGGCATAATTACTACTGACTTCCTGTAATTATATTTTTCAAATTAATTTCAATCATCTAAGAAACAGGTAGATAAGGAATCAGTATTCTCCGTTTTTCTCACTGACTTCACTGATTTACCCATTCTTTGCAATAAAGTGTCTAAAAACTCTCTCGGAATCTCAAGTTGATATGAGATTAGCTCCCGAAAAAGATTAGACTGTTTGATCAGCAGTACAATCACAACCTAACGCTGAGAATGAACAATGAATTAACACAATATCACCGATAGCATCGTATGGAAGATGGCATCTAAAAATATTAGTTATTATATGAAACCCTAACTCGTATCTGTTCATTCAAGCGGCTCAAATGCTGTCCACTTTTGGGTAAAATTCGATCATCCTTTGTGATACTAGCATTCACTGCTTCTTCGCATTCACGATACATTCGATCAAGTTCGAAATCTCGAGCACGTATCAAAGACGACATCTTAAAAATGCAAATCAAAAAACAGAACTGAAGTACATAAATTCAGTAGTTTGTGGATTTGTATTGAATTAATAAATGATTAAATGAAAAAGAAATTAAAAATAGAAAAAATGCAAAAATTACTTGAGTTTCCCAATTTATTCCTAAACATAGGAAATTAAAATATGTATACCTCATCTTCCATTTTCCTTTCCCATGCGATGATTATCTTCAATCGTTCGGGTGATAAATTTCGCATGATAAACTGGAACTGATTAGCGAATTCAAGAGTTTCACATGTTTCCGTATCATTTGCTGTCTGAAACTACACAATAATATAAAATAATTTCCGTTCGTGAATTACAATAGAAAATCATTGGTATAGCAAAAAAAATATTCAGCTTGTTAAAAGTTTGTAAAATAAAAATTAATTCTGACCAAACCATCGAAGATTCTCGCAATAACCCACAACAATATTATATATAATACAATATCAGGAATATTGAAAAAGATATCGAACTTTAAAGCAACAATTACTACCTCAGGAAATTCCTGAACATATAGTGGATCACTTGCAGCATCTGTTTCATTTAAAAATGCATTAACAGTAGCATCGCCTATTTCCGTCTCGTACTTCCATGTCTCTTCATCAATAAAACGATGGAATGCATCCGCAATATCTATAATTTCATAATTATTAACCGATATTTTAAAAAATAACAAAAATCAGTTTTAGATTGCTAAGAAATATTACTTTCTAGCATTTTCATAAAAACTCTCGGAAAAAAAGAAAAACCATACTATATGAATCCATTTAATTAATTCCAACTTAATTTAACTTAGTTGAACACTTCATTAAATTAAGTGCAATGAATATTGGTATAATTATAATACATTTAATAACGATAAAGATGATATTATTACATGTGAAACAAAAGTTTCTACCCACAGAAAACCATAACTCTTGCCAATTTATCATCTCTCTTTGTAACAAAGTTCAACCGGAAAAAAATGCCACGACGCATTTCTACATTATCATAATAAGCTCTTGTGAAAAAACAAATACTATTACTAAGGACTAAAAACTATTAAGAATCACATCCACAACGAAACAAATATAATACAGAAATCCTAATTCTCCCGAAGAAAATTAATATATACATAGTTAATATGGTTAATATATATACGAAATATTTTCATCACTTTTTATTAATTAACTATATTTAATTTAAATAAATAAAAAACTTTAACCTTCATAAAACATTGGCAAAACTTTATTTTTCACATATATATGAGATATTATCTCATCGATTGGATTTTCATCAGTAAGTGGAATTTGTGCATCATATGAAACTTTCTGCTCCAACGTTTTATATTTCGCTGTATACTCGAATCTCTTCGTTCTTTTATCGCCATTTTTCCGTGTTATGTCAGAAATCATATCGTTGTAGATAACAATGAAAAGCTAACAAATATAATTGGAAAATTCGATCTAATTTGCATGTTCATAACGTTACAGCTTTTATTGCATGAAAGTTTGTCAGCTCCCAAATTTGTTAATACTGTATTAGTCTAACTGCAGCAAACATTTTTTCTTTGAAGCCTAGTCCACTATTGAAGCCTAGTTCACCATGTCATTCTCATTCTTTATATAGTATTTTCAACTCAAAACAACGAAATCATAAATATAAATCGACAGACATATTGTTTAAAATTTTATTTAAGAAAAAGAACCATAATAAATGATATTCACAACATCCAACAAAACGAGAAATTCAAATTCTTATAGAAATGATCCTATCTATCCAAATCTTCAAGTGTTTCTAATTTCCTATACGCAAAATTCAGGGTGCAAACGAAAACGTATACTTTACCGGTCCTTATGAAATTCTCATTTAGTCGTTACAAAATGAAAACATTTAGAGTGACTTATTATAAATAACAGAAGAAAAGCAAATCTTAACTACAAATTAAAATTAGACAATATTGGTCGGTTAATAAAAAATTAATCCTATTTTGGGTAGCTAATATTATTTTTTCGTTTGCCTGTTAGAAACAATAATAAATCAAGCAGAAAAAAGAACAAAAAGCAAAATAGATCAAGATCATTAATTTAGTCTTAATGAATTACTGAAACTGATACGAACATAATCAAATGAAGAACACAAGTATTATATTGATTGAATAATAAGAAAAAAAAAGAGCAAATAAAGTAATTAGCGAATACGGAGGCTGTAATTCCATTGCAAAAAATATATTATTATGTTATGGAATGTCAAATATATTACCTTAGATAAGCAATAGATATTGCATACTTTGGATTATTTGAGATACATAAACCGTAAAGCATAATAACAAATAATGATTAAATGATTAAAGGATGATAAGAAGCTAATGAAAATGATATATTTACATGAAGCAAAGTTATTAAGCATTACGTTAAACAAAATTTAATAAAAAAAGTTTGTCTTTTGCCTGATTCGAAAATCTAACAAAAATTTTTCAATTTCTAATTTTCGAGAGCTATTGAAACTTTTTGAAATATAAAATTCCTTGTTGAATATCGCCGGTATCCTAATTCAATATTTTGCAGTAGATGGCCAAGCTTTTCGCTTCGCGAACATTTGCTTGATTCTGATTGATAAAGACTGCAACCTTATAAACTAATTCCAAGTCAATATATATATATATATACATACATATATATGTGACAATACCTGCAACAATTCCATGTTTACAATAAATATATTAGTTCCACGCATTCAATGACCCATAAATAATTTCACCAAATGACTGATAATATTGAAAAAAAAAAAACTGTCCTTCAAAATTTGAACATAAGATCTAACAAACAGATAAAATGAAATAAATTAATGTTGAGAATGACTGGAACTATTAAATAGTTCAAAATTTTCAAAGTTGAACATCGAAACTCGTTAACGCACTTTCACTTCTACTCTTTCTTCGCTTTTAAAGTACATTTCTCTGTAAATCGCCTGAAACTTGAATTTTTAAGACGATGAAAAAGCATAACCGCATGTGATGAATTTGGAGTAAAATTGATGATTTCGTCGAATCATCGTGCATCACACAGTTAAATAAGATAGTTTAGGTTTGTAAGAACATTCCATGTTTGACGTTTAATACCCACCCAAAAAAAGCTGAATATTCTCTGTTCCAATATTTAATTTTATAAGCAGTTATAAAAACTATGTTATCGTCTTTTCAAAAATTATAAGTAGAATTTACGTCAGAATTCTAGGTAGTTCATCAGCTAGATAGATGAACTTGTGACAAAACTTGCGGCTTGCATCGAATTCCTTGAGCGTAACATCATGCTTGGCAGCCAGCGCACTGTCACGCAGTTTACGAGCCAACTGCAGTGGAATAATATGGTCATCCTCTGCATGCAATATTAATACTGGACAATCTACCCTATAATGAATCCTCAATTAAGTATGACCAAAAACCATTAGATATTATGTCCAATACCTTTATATTATTCAATATTTGACTTCTTTCCTTCGTTTATTTCTTAGTTCTTTAAAACCTTTAATCATAGTTTAATTTGGAAAAAAAAGAAGAGTAATCAATCCTTGTCTACATATGCGGTATTTCACTTCTACTAGAAAAAACAATCCTAAATTTACATATAAACTTGTAATTTTCAAAGGATTCAGTGAAAATATATTCCGAATTAATATATTTTGTTAAAACATACTTTGTGATGCGATAATCAGTGCTCATATCCAAACCAGATCTTTTTAATGATTCTAATACCATTTTATTAAACCATGGCAACCAACGAAATGGTGTCGCATACGGATGATGGGTAACAACATCGTTAAGATTGTTAAATGGTGATTCCAGAATCAAACCAGTTGGTGGCGAACCTTTTTCACTAAACTCCATCGCAGCTGCTGTAGCAATTCTAAAATAAAATAAACATAAAAGAATATTAAATTAAATCATCGCAAAACTATAACTTACTTTAAGATATATGAACTGGATGGCTTAAATCATAAACCACATCAATTGCACATTAATTGATTAACGGTATAAAAAGATCATATGATTACCTACATAATGATTAAAAGATTTATTTGTGTAAAGAAATAATAAAGTACTTTCATTTTTATCGATTATACAGCAAGAGATTTATTTCAATTATCTATTTAGTACATAAAAAAAATCAATTCATCTTTCTTGACTATTATAATATGTAATTAATAAATTTTCTCTTTTCTTCATTCCTATAAATAAATTGAAAGAACGAATGTAAAAAATACATTTCGTATTAATTTGTTTGCTCGTTTAATGATAGAATGGATAGGCTGCAAATAGAAAAAGCAAATGAAATATTTCCTATAATAACGACCCCACTAAATCAATAAATGAAATGAAATGAATTGATAATTTCTCAATTGAATAAATAAACAATTTTTTGTTTGACTGGTATAAAGCATTTTTTAGCATCAATTTTTGTCTTCCAATACAACAAATACAAAAATAATGAATAAATAAAATTGCAAAAGTGTTTTTTTTTTATTGAACTATTTACTTATTTATTTTTGTTGTAATTATTATGATTAAAAGAAATTTATTTTGTATACAGATCTTAAAGGCAAGATATCAAGTTAAGAAAGGATGCGACTTGAACCAAGAAAGCTGTAATGTTGTTTGTCTTCCGTTGAAAAGTTCCGCGAGAAAAAAATCATCCATAAGCTGAGGGAAAGAAAATAAATCAAACAAGTGATACTTTAAACCATAGTGTAAAAACTACGTGCATAACTACGACGAATTAGATGAATTAGCTGATGAAAAACGTGGAAATCGGATCTCAGTATTTCAACCTAGTTAATTACGAGTATAATGGATGGAGCATGATGAATCTGACTTTCAGAACTTAATGAGTAAACATACGCTGTTCCTATTGAATGTCCCCATAAATATATGTTACTTGAGTTGGAATGACTTCTTGCATAGCGAAATATCTCTTTCGCATCCTCAATCAAGCCATTTTCACTTGGTGAACCATTCGAGTCGCCATATCCTGGAGAAAATTATTTGGTTCAGGCATCTTTAAAATTTTTATACCAAATGCAAAAATCATCTGAGGAAAACTAAATTCCATGGATACCCTGATTGCAAAAATCGAAGTAATAGAAAATTCAAAACAAAAAAAAATTCAAAACCTTAATTCTCATACAGACATTTTACAGAAAAAGAAAAGAAAGACGTACCGCGATAATCCAAAGCTAACACATGGAAACCCATACTAGCCAATAAATTATACAATCCACAGCGAGATGATTGTGATCTATAAAATAAAAGGCAATCAAAAAGTAAACCAATGATTCCAGCCATCAAAATTACAAATGCAATTAGTGAAAAAAGACGAACCGGTCAAAGGAATTGCCATGCAAATAGACAATTACTGGATTATCTGATGCTTCCATCAGCAGTTCTATTTCTCTAGCATTTAACACTGAATCACGATAGTTTACCGATATCTCTGATGGTAATATGTGCCTCAAACGTTCATAAATTGTTTTATCCAATCGAATCATAGAGACAAAATTAATATGATATGCTCATATAGACTTGATGATAAGGTGAGAGTTGGAAAAATTCCACTTATACAGTTAACACTCAACTATCATTATTTTTCCGTCTAAAGATATTAAGATGAAAAAATTCAAGAAAAAGATCAGAATAAAAGGAATGCTGAACATCTACGGAATTTATACAGATGCTCAAAGCATCCGCTGTTTAAATTAACAACATTCCATTTAAAACAAAAAAAGATTAAATAACTAAATCACGAAACCTTATTAACTTCTTAATCTTGAAGCTTTATTTTAACTAAAAATTATTTTTAAAAAAAACAAATCAATCTCTAACCAACATCCCAATCGTAAGCCACTTTTTCCACGCAAATAAAAATTCCTTCCCAATGAACTAATACCATAATGTGTTAAATTTGTAAAATTTTGAAACGGTATTTTCACTGAAATCACTGATTAATTAATTTAAATGAAAAATACCAATAAATAATGCAATGCAAATATTTGAAAAGAAGTTGAAAGTATGAATAATTTACAAGAAGCCGAATAATGTACTATGTAATGAGATATCTCAATAACATACATTTATATAATTTTGCATTAAACAATAATTATATGCAATTAATTATATTTAAAATACATTAAGCAAAATTAAAAACCACAACTTACCATAATTGAGGAAAAATATATGCTGTAAACACCATGGAAAAAAATAGATAATAACAGGAATCAAAAAATATAATAAAATAGGCAAAAAACCAACTATGAACCATCGCGCCATCACTCTAAATAATACTAAAGTAATCATCGATAATCGTCAGCATTTGTATCTTCTCTTTCGTATAGATTATATTATTCATTAGCATTAGTAAAAGATGCTACCGAAAACATGAAAAGAAGAATCCCCCCAGTATCCTGGAGTATATGATAAGATACCAATTAAATATTCATTGAAGAATGTAAAGTAAAAGTTGGAGGAACAAGCAAATCGGAAAGAAGTAGAAAAAGATAGTTTTAGCATCAGAACTGGTTTTTGTAGCTAAATTGATGATTGATAAACAGACTGCTACCAATTATAAAACTTAAGTGTCTTACACTTTGGCGGTCACGTAATTTCTGAAATTTCTTTTTTTTAACGAAGTTTGATATCAGCATCATTAAAAATGATCACTTAATGAAATTCGGTAGCACTTGTAAAAAGTGAAAAATTTTGATTATAATAGTAATGGAATTCGTATCGCGCAACTACCACTCCCAACTATTACCATTCGATCAATGTGAACATCATGATCTAATGACCGAAACATTTCTGGAACGATCAACAACCGATAACTGTAGTATCGGAGATAAGAACTAAGCAAATAACATTTCCACTCGTATACATTGTCAGCAAAAACATAAAATATTTATCTAGTAGTGAAACAATTCATGGAATAACTTTGAAAAAATATTTAATGAAAAAGAAGGGAAAACAATACAAACACTATGAGACAAACAAAAATACATCGAACCTACTATAATTTTAGGAGGAATCTCATTCACTGGAAACCTCGCGAACATTATTAGAGCAACAGGTGACACACATATATAGACATTAAATAGTTCGGACGTAAGATGCCAAATATTCTTTCACTTCCACTAAATACATTGATAAGACAGGATCTTTAAAATATTTCAAGCATTCAGTTAAAATCTTTAAATCATTTTCTAATATTCCTTTTTTGCGAATTTGACGATGGTAAACTCAAATGGCCACTATAATCGATTGCAATTTAAAGACAAAAACCAATTGAAACCCCATCGGAAATTTCCCCTAATTCACAGATAACGGCTGCAGTTTTATTTTATATGAAAATATATAAATACAAGTAAACTACAATAGGACAAAGAAAAACGATTTAATTTTTCCCGTATCGCTAATTCAATAATTCTAATATTGCTTTTTCGCGAATTTCACGATGGCAAACTCAAACGGCCACTATAATCGATTGCAATTCAAAGACAAAAAGTAACTGAAATTGCATCGGAAATTTTTTCCTAATTCACAGATAACGGCTGCAGTTTTATTTCATATGAAGATATATAAATACAAATAAACTACAATAGGACGAAAAAAACGATTTATTTTTTCCCGTATCGCTAATTCACAAAAAGCACTTTGTATAAAGCGAAACAATTTTGCCAAATATTTTTGAATTTCTCAAATATCATTCGATTTCCATCACGGAATCAGAAGTATACAAGCGGTGAACTGTATCTCGTTCCACTAACTACAACAAGTTAATGCTAAAAATTCAATCAGTGAAATAAAATCAAAATATTCGAAAACAAATTTCTCATTAAATAAACTCGTGAAATCACTTAAAAAAATCATTTTCTACTGGAATAATAAATCCTAAGCTTCTAAATCTGATTTAATATAATGTTATAATCTATGCTCTAAAAGATCATTTTAGAAAAATAAAAGAACATACAACATTGAAATTACTACCGATATTCTATGGTAACTTTGCATGTCAAAGTAAATCGTTTGATTGAATTCCCTTTAATTATGATCGCTAAATATTAATTTTATTAATTTAGGATTAAAAGAATAACATCGACCCATAACTTCTATCTCACAAATAACTAACTAAACTGGCTTATTCAAATGTCATCAATTTATGTTAAACAATTTCCATATATTTCACTTGAAATCCTTTAAAATTATTCTTTAACAATTACTTTCTACGTCTAAGCCTATGTTGCCTAATATAAAACTTTAGTACGACTATAATAAAAGCAATGGTGACCTGATAAACGGTATTTATCTCACTTGAACTGCGAATTATAGCAAGAAGATCAGCAAACTGCTGTTGTCTATCCGCTTCAGGGATGCGCTAAAATTACACTGAGCAATGAAAACCTCTAACTATGAATATTAAATAAAATCAAAAAATCAAACGAAGAGAAAGGAACTATGCAATAAATAATTATTCCAAATCACAATTAAAAGTACCATCAAAATTTAAGTATTCGATAGCAATGTGCCATGGAAGTTTCGACATTAAATGCTTATAAATGAGCAAAACATTTTTTGCGATGTTTTGAAATAAGTAACGGTGACATACATTAATCTGAAAACAAATATATTTACCTGCAAAGCAACAACAACTCTAAGTGCCGCTCTTCGAAGTTCATCTTGTTTGTCATTTTCCTGCTTCACTGCATTTGCTTTAGCTCTGGCTTGTATCTGAGTCTAAATCGCCGATCAATGTTATAATTAGTCTACTTTGAAAATCAAAACAGCTTAAACTTGCCAATAATAAACACGAAAATTCGCTGACTTATGTGTACTTTGCTTTTTAGTGATGATTATGTGCCAAGCATTTTTTTCTGCAGCTGCAGATACGAAAACAAAAAAAAGAAAAAACTTATGCCAAATTTCATTCAAATGTAATATTATTGATACGATTGTCAGGAAAATAACTAATACAAAATATACCTTCAATGGCTTGCAAAGACTGTCGAGCCGTTGAAGCACTTGTGAAGGACATAAAACAGCTAAACGTGCAAGCATCAAATACGTCAACAATTTGATATCATGCTGATCCTACAAATATTTGATAATTAAGATCTTAATTAACAGCAATTATACATTGTTTCTTTTCAATGAATCTTGATGTGCTTTGCAATAATATTAAAAAAATTACTTACTTTCAGTCCATTTTCCATATGCGTGATGAATTCAAAAATATCCAGTCGTTCCAAGCATGTTTCTAACAACGTATACATACTAAAATCGCAAAAAATTAAAGCTTAAAAAAATATTGAAGATTTAGTCAGATTCTGAATACAATATCAGAATCTGCAATCTCACGGATCCATAATCGGTAAAGAATACAGCAATAGGATCAATAGTTAAATTGCTTAATTAATTTTTACGAATCCCATCAAGATAATGAAACTGACCATTCAAAAGCCGCCTTTCGCAGATCAAGTCCATCATCAACTGTATGTTTAAATGGACCCATTTCTACTTCACGAACCAATTCTTTCTTAACCACTGTTTCATTATATAATGATGGCAGAAAGACAGGCAGCAGATCTCTGATCTATAAAGGAGAAAATGGATGCTAAAGGAAATGAAATTTGAAATCCTATAGAACAAGGATTATAACTACTCTAAAACTAAATGCATTAATAAGAAAAATGATTCTGGACACACCCAATATAATGAAACACCCGATAAAGGCTTACAATACAAGCGGTAAGATTAAAATTTTAATTATGAATTAAAAAGAGCATCAAAGTTATTGGTCTTGCAGTCAAAATTATTTCCATCGCTAATTTGAATAACATTTGATACCCATAAAATTCAGCAACTGCATCGAATCAAATTTTTTATTTTTATTGAACTTCCCAAGAAAATAAAGTTATAAAAAACTTAACAAATTACCAGTCTGGGTTTGTTATGAGCAGCAGAATTGAAAGCTACCAATGCCACTCGACGTACATTAAGATCTTGATCTGTAACGGTCCGCAGGAAATGAGTCATTGCTGACTGCAGCAAATCATCAACAGCTGTCCATTGTTCAACAATTAAAAATTTCACTGCTGTCACTGCTGTTGCACGCATAAACGGATTCGGTGAAATGACACATTTCTAAAGAATAAAGGTAAAAATGGACCGTATACTGACAATTTTAGATTTCATTAAATAGACCGTGAGTGCACCTAAATGAAATGACGAATTGAAATGGAGCTGAGATTAATAAAAACTGAAATTCACTATAAGACAGACCTTTAGTCGTTGCAATAACTGTTCGGGTTGGACAAGACATAATTTGCCGAGGCATTCGGCGACAACATTTCGGGTGCCCTCCTCTGCAGCTGTTGCATGGGTGATCAAAACGGGCCAAATCTGTTCAATTCTTGGACGAAAAATCTCTATAGCCCGGGAATCACCGCTTTCCGAACCAATTACCTAAAAAATGTTGCAAAATTATTTTAATATAGAACAAAAATAAAGGATTTAATGACCTCTTCTAGTGAATGAAAAGATCTTATACGAACGAACAATGGAAAGGAAATGAAATATATATTAAAACAAAATAAATAACATGCTATCGATGTTTAATTTGGAAACGAAAGCAAAATATATGTTGTACACTGATAATAGAAAACAACCTAAATTATTTAAAAGTAGTATAATAAAATATACAGTCACATATGTCTTTTTTCATTGCCAATTTCCATAGTTTCCAAATTTACGCACGAAGAACAGATAAAAAATAACAATAAACAAATGAAAAAATAACTGCACTTCTTTCAAAGCATGTAACAGAAGATATTGGCGCTTTGGTTGCGAGTTGATTTGTTCGAGCAAAAATGGGAGATACTTTTCGAGATTTCCTAAGGCAAGCCTTCCCAATGCATATGATGCAGCTGTTTTCATCTCTTCTGATGTTGTATTGAAAGCATTCACTAATAGTTCTTCCGGTCTGAAATTCTTATAGCTGAAACGAATTTAAATTGAAACCTTGACTCCCGTTTAACTGTCACAAGCTAACTAAGTGTTTATCTTTAATAAAATGAAAATAAGTAATGATATATAATAAAAGATAGATGAATAATAAACGTATTTTGACAAAACAAAGTTTTTTAAATAGCATTATGGAACTTCAATTATTTTTGATATAAAGAGTCTTTTTTCTTTTGTAAAAGAAAAACAGTATAAATGACAAATGTACTTCGTGTGGAAAAAGTTCTACCCATAAATATCTATTTGAATAAAAGTTGACCTCAGGGAGTTTTCTGCGGAATAAATCTGTGCTTCGATTTACATGGAAATTGAAAGATGGCAGAATGAGAAAACGGAAAACATACTTTGGTGAAAACTTATCGAACGTTCGTGGACAAGTACAGCCTAATTCACCGATTGCAAGCAAAGAAAAGAGTCGTACACCATCCGCTGTTTCGCTTGACACTATTTGTTCTGATAATTTCTTTGCTAAATTACGACAACGATTTAGTTGACCGGATGCAGAAGCAACAACAGCAGTACATGCGGAAATAGAGCGATAGGCCTGACGATGAAGGGAACTGTTATCGTAAGCCGGAGCAGTCAGTTGATCCAGCAATTCCTGGAAAAGGTCTCCTATTCGACAAGCAGTTAAAATAAAATGTCATTGTGTAAGAAGTTTGAAAAACATCCAAATTCATTTCTCATTGAAATTATTAAAGTACCTCGAAAGATGGTTTCCGAGGTATGTCTGCCTGGACCACAGCTAGGACAAAATTCAAGGAAGCTGTTAGGGTAGCACCCTGAAGCAGAGAACTTTGTAGGAGATTCACGTAAGCCGCAAGTATATCCGGCAAACTAGAGGATATGATTACCGGCTGAGCAATTACTAGGTCTGAAAATACTTCTTCATTAACATCTATAAATACTTTGATCAAAAACAAGCAAATATGATGTTTACAGAGTAAACTCTGAATAAACTAGGATTTTCTGGGAATTCGCCTTACGCTTGAAGTTTAAGAAGGATAAGAGGATTATATGATAGAAAATTAAGATGTTACAAGCTTTTAACAATGTAAGAGCTAGAACATCTTTTCTTTGTGATTATTGTAAAGAATAGATTCATTGTAATAGCCAGTTATATCGAAAAAGTTTTCATAACAACTAATACTTACGACTAAGGAAAGTAAGAGTAAGCTGGCTGATCTGCAGATCCAATTCAGAGATCAAAGCAGGTGTTTCTTGCAATACTTTCATCATTTCACTACCATCTAAGCCACCATACTTGTAATTCATCACCAAAGAATTCAGCAAATTTAATGTCGAAATCTATAATTCATGGTAACGAGTTTTAACAATGAAATAAGTGAAATGTAATCATGAATCAATCATAAAAACTTCATTGCTACTGATGACTTATAGAGGTAACTAAAAGTAGAGCAGAAAAAAAGAAAAAACCTGCAATAGACAGCTGAAAATGGGCTAAACACTCTACAGTAACTGACATATTAGCTGTAGTGCATTCTGCTATATAGTTTCACGAGCGAATAAAGCTAAATTACCTTTAAAGTTCTGTGATTCTTGCGCAAATACTCGGCCAGTAATAGCAAAATATCTGACAAAACAGAATACAGTGAAATTGAAAGAGGACTATTCACAATTACTGTAAGCGCTTTTACCGTAACAAGCCGTGTCATTTCATTCCGCAAACGATCCAGAAATATAGGCAAACAGGTTGGAAGCTGAAGAAAAAAATTTTATTCAACCATTGTGGAACACCCCTGACCAGAAAATGAAAAAATTTGAAATCTAGAAATCTCTTGTAAACATTTTTAGAATAATCACAATTCTTTTGTGATACAATATTTTTAGAGTAATAGAAACATTGCCTAACTTCAAAACTTCAAAATTCATATACTTCTTACCTTGTCTTCTAGAAAATCACCGAAAGTTGAAACAAGAAGGCCAGCTGCTGTTATTGCTTTTTCTTTCACTTCCTGAAAAACAAATAAAAAGAAGGATATACGACGGGAAGCTGAAACTATTAACCAAAGGATTATTGAGACAAACATTTTAACAAACTGAAATATAATTCGTGAATCAATGAAGACTAAAAACTGCAAGCCTCAAGCTCTCGAACAATTCTAAGGAATGTAAGTCTGCAGTAATTCCAAACGCTGACTAATGAATACTACTTCGATCTTGAATCTTGACTCAATAACTACTATGAAATTGGACTTAAAATGTTTTAATATACGAATAAGGGTTCCCAAACCTGATCTATATCGGTAGCCTTTAGTTTGCCAATGATTGCTTCATAAATACTATCCACATATGGCGAATAATCGAAATTGCCTTGTTCGGATGTCCTTGGGCGCAAGACACGAATCAGCGATGTTGTAACCGTCAATGCCTCTGCTGCAACTTTGTAAAACTGTTCACTAACAGCTCGTACAATAAGTGGCACCAACACATCCATATATGCATGTAATTTCTGAAAAGTAAAATTATAAAAAAAAATGAAAATAAGTGACTTTTTTTGAGATTACTTACAATAGCACATTTTTTATTCTTGTAATTCTATCTATCCACTAATTCTTCGAATACTTGAGTAAATAGAAAATAATATTGCTGGTTATACATAGATATATAAAGAATATTACCTCTGGTGTATGAGTGCATAGTGCTCCTGACAGGAAGGTGAGCGTGTCAATTTTTACATTTGTATTCAAGGAACGATCATTCATTGCACTTGATACGCCGGCAGTTAGGTGAAGTATTTCATCACCAAGTGCACCCGGATATGCTCTTAAAAAACACAAAAGACATATAATAAATGCTCGTCAAATAAAATAACTGGAAAATTACAACAATCTGATAACAAATGAAATGAAATTCCACTGATTAACATAAAAAATAATGAGGCAAATGTATAAAGAAACACACCGCAACAGATGCGTAAGTAAAACGAAACAGTACTGTTTCGTTTTGAGTGCCTTCGTGCTTAGCAGTCGACTAATTGCTTTGACAAGTAAAGGAATCTGTGAATCCAAAGCCTAAAATAAAAAATCAGCAGATTATACTATGACTAAATAAATGAATAGCTGAAAAGATCTTTTGGTCGCTGCTCCAGATCTACTAAAACACTACTGAAGGCCTTATAATATGAGGATACAACTCGAAACATAATATTTCGTTAGATCAAGCATTATATCAGCTATCTATTAGGAAATCAAATATACACTTGACAACTTTTTGTTTTCAATGTTACAAGAAACGAAATAATGATAATGAAAAGTTTTCATGTGTATTCACATATTTAAGATCATCAGTGATATCGCGATACTTGCTGAAATTCAATCATTAACAAATATAATTTACACCATTCTTCTGTTCCAAAAAAAAAACCTGTAATGTTTCAAGTTGTTCCACGCTTAAAGCATTTCGCAGCAACACACCACCTTTAACAGTAACTGTCTCCACGTCGCCACATGCGTTTTTCTTTATGTCGCCATTTTCCTCCGGCTAAAATGATGATTAAAATAATGTATAGGAATCATAAAATCCGTAACTCTGACTAATCCCAAATTATGTCTATATTTTTTAATGATCTGAGATGATGTTTCCATAAGAATTTTATAAGTTTATCTTTTTTAACAAATTTTATAAGTTCGTAGACTTACGACGCAAATGGCTGAAAAGTTAGGAATTAAATTGCGAATCTGTGAAAGCAACGCCGTGTAGGCATGCATTATATCCCACTTGACGTTATCCTCGCGTTCTTTGAATCGACTAATCAACAGTGGACCAAATGAACTCAAATATTTCACAATCTCGTCACGGTGCGATAAAATCTATAAAGGTTCGAATCAACATCGTGAGCAAATAATTCGTTTAGTACAATCCAGTCACAAACATTTTAATTAGATAATGAGCCAAGGGAGCTAGAACTTTGTTGCATTTGGTACTCATTGTCTCGGTGATCTAGTAAACTAAAGCAATCTGATTTTAGAAAAATAATTCATACGTAAACATACAAGAGCCTCAATGCATTTAGCGCATGCTCGGCGTACTTTCCAGCTCATATCATCGTCATCCGAGTATTCGTTTCCTTCATCATCATCGTCGTCAGTATCACCTGGAATTTTTAAGTGGCTAGTGAATAAAATAGTAAATAAAAACTAACTTCAGTATTTATTTTAAGAAATAAATACTTCGTTTATATAAGCAAATGTCATATACAGCGCAGAAAAAATTTTTATAAATGTCCTTTTTGTAAATGTTGATAAAAAAGTACTACAAATTCAAAATGTAGAAATGAAGTTCATGACAAATTATCAATGAGACCTTGCCATTATTAAATAATCACAGTGTACCAATTATTACAATATCCTCAGTTCGAATCACCTACTTATCACCAAATTTCTTTTCACAGATTACTAACTTTCAATAGACTTGAAATTTGAAAATCTAATGCACTTAGATAATTGTGGTGTTTAACAAAAACTACCATCAGCATCCATCTGCGAAATGCTATCCATCTCTTCATCATCATCGTAGGTATAGTTAGGATCATGTTTCAAATAATTAACAACTACCTCCACAATATGCGGAATAAATGGCGTTATTTCGCGAGGACAACGATAAACAAACGTTTCGAATGCCTGTAAAATATTTTTTGTTGCTTTGCTGCAATAAAAACTGAACATTTCGAGAAAATAGATCATTCAATATGGAGGAGAAGAGAGGCACAACTACGGTACATACTAAATAGATTAGACTACTTAATATATCGAATAAATACCGACTTGGATGCATGATTCACGAAGCTCGTCATCCTCAGTTGCCACAGTATAATCCACGAGTATCGGGACTAATCTCGATAAATGTTTTACAAAACGGCGACTGGTTGTTTTACAAATACTCTGACATGTTTGCACCATTGTACGAAACTGTGTAGTTGATGCCTGCAAATGACAAAAATCATTCGATGTGGTGTTTATCCTAGGACAAAATCTTACTAAATGACAAATTAAATTAGCGATTACTCCGGGTGCTGTAAGATGTTGCATGATAATGTCCATTGTTTCTCCATAAAGAGTGACATCTGAGAGAGCCAACAAATTTGATAATGCCATAATAGATCGTTTGCGGAGAGCTTGACGGTCAGAAGATAGCTGTTGAAGTAAAGCTTCCTGCAGCTAAAATATTTTACATGATGTGCTTTTGTAAGAAAAAGAAGGAACAGATAATAGTTCAAAATCCACATTTCAACAAGTGCTACTGCATTCAAAAAAAAATCGAAGCCGCACGTTTCCTAATTAATTTTTACATTTTAGCAATACTATTATAGCTCATTCAAATGTTGCATCATAAGAATAAACCCCTCTCAAATATGGCGAAAACAATGATCCATAACGTGATAGGATATCAGATATAATATCGATTATTTCGAGCTTCACAGAGATATCGACCCGTTCCGTATCTGCTGTAAAGTTAATCATTTTAACAAAATATCGAGATCCCTTTTTATAGTATCAACAGCGAATCTGTGAAAAGAAGTCAACAGAAATAATAACACACCAATATAAAGATTAACAGAAGAAAAATGAAACCGAAAATCATTTACATAATGCATCTTTAAGTGGTGGTACCAACAGCTTGATTACTGCCACCGTTAACGGGGAAGTTGCAGCGGGTAATTCAGCAACTGCAGTCTTTAGTGCAATCGAGGAAACATCTCGCAATTTCTCATCACCATTAATCATTGTTTCACAAAGATGTGAAAAAATTGCTTGAGCCTGGAAAAAAAAATTTTCAAAACGAGAAAGACATTGAACTGATTAGCTTTTTCTTTTTTGATATTTATAATTAAACGAAAGAAATATTAATAGTTACCGCACCGGAAACAATTCCGGAAAGTTAAGAAATTCTTTCTGGCTCATCAGCTCATTGATTTTTTGTAAAAAAAGGAATGCATAAATCTTTTCAAAAAAAAAAGGTAAAAATTCCAGTGTCGTAATTTAACTGTAACAGTTTTTTAGTTTCAGTCAATGGAAATGACGAATATGTATCTTAGGATAAATCTATGGTCATCTTAGGAAGGCAGTTGTAATTCATCAAAGATCATATAAAAGACTTGCTGCAGAAGATTACATCAAGCAATTATATAGTAGTCGAATTCCAAGATATGCCGCGCATTACATTGAAATAACGAGTAACAAAAATCTGATATACAATATAGTTAAAAATACCCTAATATTTCACCTGTGTATCTTTCACTTTATGTACAAGTGGTCCCAAGCATTTCACTGCCAAATTTTGTACTTCACCATTCTTGTCCTCTAACAGCCTCACGATCATATTAACCATCTGAAAACGTCTTTGAAGGGATAGATCAGAGTATACCAATAAAAATATATTTTAAAATACTTATCATTCAAAGTTGAAATTACTACATAAATTTACATATAAAAATACTATAGATGACATGAATGCCCTTTTATATAAATTAGTGCCGGTAATTAATATCATTCATTTATACTAAGAAATGCTGAAAAGTTAATCGAATTCTCTATTGTTTAGCATACGTCAACCATTTATTTTTACATATTGCACGTGATTTTTACATGTCAAATAGAAAATGACTCCGACAGCTAGCCTCATTTTCATTCATCTTAAAAGTTTTGTAAAGCAAGATCAGTCATACATTTTCAATGTAAGATTTGAATTATAGATGGCTAATAGAACAAATGATTCCGTTGTTGTGATGTTTGACAACCAATCCTAAGCAGTGTGAACAATACTAGCAATTCACTTTTTAAGCATATCCGCTGATTTAGTCATGGAATAATTTTTATATGAATAGGGTTCGCATTTCCCCGCAATACAAAAAGGCCAAATATAATTCAGTCACCCTTACATACAACATTCTAGATAACAAAATTTTATATAGAAGTACCATACCCTTCGTTCGGATTCATCGTCCAATTTGATGCTATCATTCTGCAGCTCAACAATTAAATCATTTGTAGCCATGAAACGATAATCCTTATCTGTTGATGACATTTTTTCCAATAAACTTGCAATCTGAAACGGCATCTTTTCGGACTTCAATTTCGGCTGTTCGGTATTCGATCTGGAATCCTGCAAATTTAAAAATATACATAACTGTCGATGCATTGAAGAAATGTCGTTTGATGGCATTAATGAACTGCATTCATTTTCAAGTTATTTGTGAATTGGATAAAGTTTTCGAATTTGAATATTTTGCAATTTTACCCAAGTCACTCATTTGAAAAATTTAGATATACCATTAAATCTTGCGTACAGGTCTTCATATTACGAGTATTCAATAAATACCAGGCTAATAGATCTGCAGGTTTCTGGTGTACGATTAACTCCTAAATACCATTAGGGATTTTAAGATATTTCAATGAAACTTTGGAAATTCTTCGGAAGATATGATTTTGGAGAAAAAAAAAATGACATATATTCCAAATGACTGGTTAGCAAAGTTCTCACGACAAACATTGTGAATTATGACAATATAAAGATTACAAGCTGAGTGACGAAAATCGCAAAACGCAAAATATAAAACCACGCACAATCACACATCAAATCATTACCGTACGACCAAATTTAAGAACACATCACAGAAAACTATAAAGCACATTTAACTGATCGCACTATTATTATGTTTCGTTTCTTCGTTTTTCACTTCCTTATATTTTTACATTTTTATTCACATCTAATTTTTTCTAATTTCACTCATTCGTAACAACATTTTCGAGAAAATTGACCCTTAAACGATATAAAATTTAATTTCATCAATTGGAAACTAGCATATATGATAAACAGTATTGAAAAATTATTAATTAAAATAAAATAAACCAAAAATATCCTCATTCCTTTCATTTTTTTTTCAAAAAATTTATTGAATGCTTGAACGCACACATGTAAATACTCTCCTCATCTATTGATTAATTTCGGGACACACAAGTTCATTCATATATCAGTGACACCTCTCTTATTACCCCAATCCTTCCCTCTCTTACCCCCACATCCCCGCGGTCCTATGCGTACACACCCACTCCCCATCTCCCAGAATTACTTAACTTTTTTTCTCGCTCCTAACAGTAAACAACGATGACGAAAGTGTATCACTTAAGATAGTATATTACGAAAAACAATATCCAAAGTCTTTTTCGTAATTCTGAAAGTTTGAATAATTGAACGATATCGCTTGTATGCTTCTGAGTATTAACAGTAAGAATTTAACAGTGTTAATATGTACAAATATATATATATATATATAAATAAATGCATGAATTTTGAAAATGTAAAACAAGTTTTAATTTTTAAAATTACTTTTTAGGCATTCAAAAAGCATGTTAACAACAATGTGAAATTTAATTCTTAAAATTTAGTAATTATTTTAATTTTGAAATTAGACCATTTTTTCTATTGATTTTTTAGTTCTAGAATATGAGAAGTAAGATTAGTTTTTTGAAATAATATTTAGAAAGATAATATTTAAAATAGGCTTGTAAAAAACTTTTTTCTTCTAATTCCTCTAATTATATTAAAATAAAAGATGATTTCACCATAATTAGCAATAATAAAAGAAAACAATGAAAAAACTGAAAGATAAAATTAAAATTTCTTTTCCTGAAAAAGTAATCCTGAAAGAATAATTTCAAATCCGTTATCAAAAAATTTAACTAAAAGAAATTTTTCTTTCATATAAATGGTTTAATAAAAATTACTGATAAAAAGGGGGAAAAAATTATTTTTTAGATAATTGAAAATGTTCCAATATATTAAAAGATAATTAAATTAACAGAGAAAAAGTTTCAAATGATAAGATAATTGCAGATAGCAAATAAGATAATAATTGTTAATTGTTAATTTAATAATTGTTAATTTTTTTACCAACACTGAAATATTCAAATTGAACCGATCATTAGTTTGAAATATGGCAAAAATGAAATTCATAGAATGATTACTATGATTTATATCATTTGGTGAATTCGCAAAAAATATGCTAAATTAAATTTATTTATCTAAATTTTACTCAAATGATAAATTCACTCAAACCAAACTTTCATTCAAACCGAACAAGTATTTGCAAAAAGAAAAAGGTCATAGAGAGTGAATGATAAAATGAAAAGGTCAACATTCAAATTACAAATGTATGAAATAATTTGTTGTTATAAATTACACAAAAAGATAAAATAATCAAAGAAAGTATTTGATCATTTAAAAGTTTACTACTCAGTTTACCTATTAGACCGTAATAGTTGTACATTTACCTTTTATCTAATAAGTTCAACTTTCTTAAATTTATTTTAAAACAATAAGATGATTGAAATTTTGTTCTCATTACTTCGTGAATTATGAATTCATGAATTCTAAGCAAGTATTCAGTTTAGCTTTAATTGTTTTTAATTGATACTTGAAGCAATCTTTCAGAATGAGTAAAAAATTAACTAACTGATATTTTTAATATAACTGTTGATAGTTGATTAATTAATTTAGTAATTTAATCTTAATCAAAGAAATAATCATTCCGTCAATAAATTATTCGTTATGCTTTGGTTTTTTCAAAATTACGGTATTTTACATTTGACAAGAAATAATTGATAACTGATAACTGATAATTAATTGTCATTCGTTTGATAATTTTAAATAGGCTTCATAACAGTACTTGATATTATCATATTATTAATTTCAATTATTTTATTTATTCACTTAATGATTATACTTAATACTATTATGCTTCTTTTTTGTATATTGCCAAGTAATCAACAAATAATTATCGCTTTCATGATAATTTCAAATAATCATCTTAATGATTATACTTAATACTATTACAACATTATTTCAATTATTTCTCAAGTGCGTTTTTTTTTGCATATTACTATAATTAAAATATTATTAACAAATTCCATGAATATATAAATTAATATCAAAGCTAAATTATTCACATGTTCAAAAAATCCATCTGATCCATCTGAACATATACTGACATGCTGATATCTTTTGATACGCTATATATTACCAGCGATACAGCGACTATATGAATTCAAATATGAATAATTCACATATTTAACAGAGATAATAGCAATGATAACATCTGATAACAGAACAAAGCAACAATGCGCACTAATTCTATTTGTTTCATTTTGAGAAGTGGTGATAATATCTAATAATAGAACAAAACATTGTGCACTAATTTTGTTTCATTTTGACAACTATTTCAACTTATCCTAAAATGTGTATTATAACATAGTGGTATTATAATATGAAATGGAAATTTCCAATTTGCTCTTTCCAGTTAATCGATTCTTAAGTAATAGAAATGAGTACAATGATTACAATATTATCTATAACTTTTTAAACTTAATCAAAATTATCACAAATATATTCAGTGTGAAAAAAGAAATTACTGCAAAAAGCTGTCAGAATGAAATTAATATTGGAAAAGTTAAAGAAAAAAGGACGAATATTTCATTTCGACAACAATAAAATCGCTCATTATTGCTATTAAATTCAAATAAAAGACAAAAGAATAAAATAATAATAATTTATAATATAATGAAAATAAACACAAAAAATAATTATTAAGAATAAATTGATAAAGAAAAGATAATTTAATTCCTTTAGATAGAAAATAAAATAAGAAATTTCATGCTTTTTCATATTGATCCATACTATTTTTTGGGAGTTAATTTTCTTATCATTACTTATACTTTTATATGTTATACTTATTTTCTATATTCTATAATATAGTTATAAATATAAAATAGGGAAGCGAAAAATATAACAGTAAAAGAATATTATAATACTTTACTACTATAAGAAATTAATCAAAACAATGTACAACAAAATATATCGATACAATGAAAACGATTCACCGAAAAAGAAAAGAAAATGATGAATAAACAACCAGGTAGAAAGAGATCTCTCATACTTGTTGTTAGTTAAATAGAATTCTCGCAAAAATTTTCTAAATTTGAAATAGATCAACTGACACTGATATGCATTTCTGCAATAATCGTTCCTTTGTTTGGTGTTTATTTTTTATTTCTTGATAAAACTAAATTTTTGTTATATTATAAGGCAAAACTTAAGTTTCTGAAATAAGATTCAAAAATTTACTATAATGAAAGCACAAAAAAACTATTACAAATTATGGATAACTATAACTATATAACCAAATATTTTAATCGTGGTCATAACATGATAGCATGTATATCACGTTGTTATAGAGATTTCTTGGGAGCAAGATGCTTGAATGGTGGAAGATAAACGAATCGTGCAAGTGACATATACATCGATCCTGCAAATTTGGAATTAATAATTATTTGATGAACAATAACTTCCTAATGCATATATTTCATAAATATTTGCAAAATAAATTAATTTGCATCTTTACAGTTAAATTACGGCTATACGACTACCGTTAGCAAAAGTATAATATTTACTCCGCTTTATCCGATATAGAACATCAGTGATATCACTGTATGTGGCATATGTTAGACATTATCTTACAATAAGAAACTCTCACATATTACAGGTTATTCATTTATCTCACAGTTATGCTTCTGACGATGTTCATTAATTCAATACAAATTACAAGAACACTCAAGTGGACCGATTTAATCTAAAATAGCGCACAAATTTAAATCATAAATATGGCGGTAAAAAAAACTAATAAAGGGATGGAAAAAAGTAATTGAAAAGAAAATGATATGATAATTATAATATGACAACTGTTACGATATATCAATTGGAAGGGCGATAATGAAAAGTGAAAATGAAAAGGTGACAACACCGATAATATGAAATCAATTTTCTTTCTTCAATCCATCTTATTAAAAATTATCAATAAAATTTTGAAATATAAAAAAATTATAGTAATATTGTGTAACGTTCGAAATTTAACGCATAAAATGTGAAGAAACATAGAACCAACCGATAGCAATAAGACGTAAAGGCAGCTTTTTGTAAATAATATCACCATTCCGCGTATTGTACCAGATATATGCAGCAACAAAGAGAAATAATCCAGTGCCAATATATCGACATGGTTGACAATCCCGAATAACAACATCCGATTTTTCTTCATTCATTATTGAATTTTGAACGGTGAATGCTAAAATCAAAATAATATTCATTACAAGTCTGCGATAATAAACTTTTCGATACCAATACTCTTTTTATTCACTGTATAACTGCAATTCCTCAAGAAAATTGATTTAAAAAAAGAAAATGAAAAAAATACTTACAGTTTACTGGAAACGATTTAAGAGATTTAGCGATGATATATATATATATACATATGCTATTATATGCAAAATAAGGTAAACATTGATGCAATAAAAGTAACAAAATTTTATCAAATACTCCAGAAAAAATAAAGATTAAACAATACTCATAGATAGAATATATCCTACCAATAATTAAAATAATCGAACGGCAAAATAATCATAAAAATTGGAAATAATAAATGACTCTTTAAATTCATATATGTATGAAGCAAGAAGCAACATCACGATTCCGGAAAGCTTTTTGTGCTTTTAATCAATTATTTCTGTACCTAAAATGTAATGATGATAGTAAAAGTTCATTAAAAATTAAAAATGAAGCTAAAAAAAGCGGTAAAAAAGCCATGGTTCATGCGCAAAATGAGCATCAATAATATTCTGCAAAATTTATTACACAGTCAATAATGAATAGATAAAAAAATGATTGGAACAGTTTAAATTTATAACAACTGATTGATACAAGTAAGAGAAATAATAGCACCGTAACCGGAAAGAAAGTGATGGAAACGGATTGCTAACGGTGATATAACAAAATAGTTGTATATGACAAGAGAGTCATGCATGAGTAAAAGCATCCATAATTTGCTCTATTTATTGCTCAATCAATTTTACATGTAATGCCAAAAATATATACAGTAAAAAAATATATACAATTAATAATTTGGATTGAAATTAAATATAAAAATTAGAGAAATAAAAAACAAAAAAAAGAGAAAACAATTTTTTCGCAACATTCCTGCATGCCATTTCAAACAGTGCAAAAATTAACACAAAAAAATAAGAAAAGTTGCAAAAAAGGTTGAGCTAGTCTTTAAGATCAATTTCATCACACGTAACAGGTTGTTTCACTGAAATCATCGACTTTTTCTCTGGATCTCTGGACAATGCCTTTCTCATATCTAAAATCGCTAATATTAAAACTATCTCGAAACATATTCGTTATAGTAAGTATTGACAATCACTGGTTAAAATACCAGTTTAGCTCAGAAGTTGACAAGCAGTTATATCATTAAGCTAGCTGTATCATTTCTCGCAAAAACTTGACTGAAATGATAATCTTTTCTTTTCAAAAGGATAAAGCAAAAATTACACAAAGCATACTCCTTCAACAATTTAATTGCTAAAAAATTATAGCGCAATTGAAAAAAAAATTTGAGAACGAAATTTAAAAATTAACAAACCATAAGCATCCTCATCATTTTCACCAGAATAATAATCAATAATGCGCCGATATACCACATAACCAAGGCTTTTGTACATAGTGATTGCCACTGTATTACTTACACGTACGAACAGATCAACAAAATAACATTTTTTCCTAAAATTTAAATACAAAAATAAAATTCTGGAGTAGTATAAACTATGACGCAACTGCTTATACAGGCAACAGAAGGAATCTATATTAAATTCTTCTCATTGCGCTTCTTCATGGTCATCTTTACTGAACTGAGATTAAAATGTTGATTATTGCTGGTGATGGATGAAAGAAATAAAATTTTCAATAATTATAGTTCTTTAGTAAATGTGGCATTTTCGCTCTAAGGCACAAATAATTTTTTAAATTTCCAAATTTCCCCTGTTCTATCTAGTATTTTATCCAACAAAAAAGTGTGACTGAAAACAATACATTTCTGAGATTTCTTCAAGGGTATGCATCATTCGTACCGCCAAATGTAATCGTCGGTATGTTGGAGCGACGGTTACTGCCGTAACATGTCCATGCCAATATTCATGTTCACCTTCCGCTTTCCCCATAACTGGAAGTAAGTGATTCAGGAAAATTTATCCAAAGCTCCTTGCACAGACATTACTTTATAATAGCCATAAAGTTTTACAGGATAAAACCATTAAGAACAGCAAATTAAAAAAGAAAAAACTTCTGCTTGTTTCCAAATATTTTTTAATATATCGAAGACTCGCTTGGCAAATTTCTACTTATATCTGATATTGCGGTACTGTAACCTTTTCACAGGCCCAACTCCCTCAAGCCTCTCTATCACATGATTTAAATGGCTCTCTTCCTTATTTTTTACAAACTAATTATTGTAGAAAACATACCATAACCCATAATTTCACCACTTGGATGCTCGCATACTTGGAAATATTCACCATGGTTAATCAAGTATTGCAAATAAAAAGTGAAACCATACTGAAAAATAATCCTTAAGGCTTTTTATTTGAATAGTTCCCGAAAATCTTTCAGTTATCTAAATCAGTTACAGATTTAAATTCCTAAACAATTTTAAGTACGTGACTAAAGAACTAATTTTATCATTTCCAAGAAGCTCAAAATTCCAGCAGTAAGGAAATTATCATCATAATTCTCATCAATTTCCATGCTCCAATATTTGCGAATCTGAAAAATCTTATGGACTTCAATTTCAGTCACAAATAATTAATAAAATATTTCAACAAACAATATTTAATTAAACAATACAAAGAAGTGAAATTATCTCAAGTGCCTTATGATTCAAAACAAAGAAACATACCGTTTCTGTCAATGGATCCAAATTCCTGAAAAAAATACTTCAAAATTTTTTTTTGAGAGCATATTTCATTCATATAAACGAAGAATAATGTAAACTACAAAAATGGACTTCAATAACTTTATAAGTCTGAAATAAAATCAATCTCTTACATATTAATTGTACTTTCTAATCAAATAATCTGTGTATGTTCCGAAGAAAAAGAAAAAGAGTCTGTTAACTTAATAGTGATATTCTTATCCTTAAAAGATCACCCCAACAAAATGCTTAATTGCTGAATCTTTCTCTTCTAAAATTCAAATGTATACATTATTTGTTTTCACATGTACATGAAAGCTTACGTATTATTAAATCGAAATAAGTCGAAAATATCGAACGGCCGAATCGTCGTCATATCTTCCTAAAAATGAAAAAAAGAAATGAAACAATGTATAATGCGGCTTGTATTTTCCTCAGTTTTATATCAAAATTTCTTGAACAACTTGCCAGCAATTCATAAGTTGCAAAATTCAAGGGCAAATATGAAAGAAATAATTCCAAATATCCTCACCACAAGAAACTTTTTGTAAAATTAAATCAAATATCATTAGTAGAAGGTAAAAACTCCTACACAAGAGCATTGAAGAAGTGTATAGCTGAGGCAAGTCTTCTACATTTTATTTTTTTTTAATGATCAACCTTTTCTTACAATTCGGATCAGAAAGCAATATGCGTACAATTATTCCGATCAAAATATCTGAAACGCTTTTGCGAAAATAAGCTGCACAAGTCTAATGCATTGCTAAAAGCAATGTTAAAAGTACATGTAAGATGAAAAATATCTGAAACGCTTTTGCGAAAATAAGCTGTACAAGTCTAATGCATTGCTAAAAGCAATGTTAAAAGTACATGTAAGATGAAAAAAGTCAAAATCATTTCATCAATTAAATTGACATTGTTACAAATATTTAACAATAAGTCATAATGCGAGCTGTTTTCTCAAAAAGCATATCTTATTAACTTTTTAATTCACCAATAATAGTCTAAAACATACAAAAAGATAATTGCACCAATTACTGAACCATTAAACTCATTGACAGCAATGGTATAGTTGCTAGAGCAATTTAATTAAGGAATTAAGCTAAGCATAAACAATAATTTACTAAAATTTCATGACATGATAAAATGCTTAAAAATCATTCGATATACTCAGAAATCATCCGGCTTATATTCACGATACGGTATGCCAAAGTTTCGAAATGCCGGGACATATTTTTTTAAATAATACATCAATCTCCAGTCCACCGCTTCGCCATCCGGTAATTTTCGCGCATCCAGACAATATCGATTGTAAATAACTATAACAAATTGTTTTACAAAAATAAATTTCATGCAATCAAAAATGTCGGAAAAAAGTGAAAATATACATGTATTGATAGACTAAAGGAAATATAGTTCAGTGATAACATCCCTTTACAAAAGATCAAACTGAAGAGTAATTTGATTAAAACTTCTTACAGTGAAGAGATAGTCCAATGAGGTTTATCCAATGTATTAAACTAGGGTTACGGAAAACTTACCCAAAACTACTGATAAAATACCAACGCCACAACAAAAGCTCAAGATTGGCGTCCTCATATTTTCCGCCTTGTATTGGTTTGGATATCTTTTCAAAAACAATTCCGTCTTCATCTGAATTTGATTAAAATTTTTATATCACTAAATTAAGATAAATCTTCAAAAAATAATTTATTGATTAACTTTAATCGCATACATAAAGATTTGAAAGTGATCAAATGAGTATGACAATTTTGGTTAAAGCATGCTTGTGAGGAAAAATGAAATCTCCGTATTATTTAACTATATAAATCATTTCAAAATAACTTTCGGAGAAAAAATGGAAAACTTCCCTTGGAGATCATCCATTTTCAAATATTATTTAGGACAAAACAATTAAAAATTTATTTCCATCAAATGAACAGCAAAACAGAATCATAGGAATCAAAAAGCAATAACAATGAAATAATCAACTTACTTGATTGCAAAAAAAAACTTATATTCGGCTATTAAACTGATAGAAGTTTGATTACAATAGCTGCCTCGGAAATTTTCTCCAATATGAAAAAAAACTAATTACGATCTCTTCTCTGGATCACCCGTTATTTTTTCCTTGTAAGGAATGCCAATTGATGCGAAGAAAGGCAATTTGCGTTTCAACCACATCACATGCCCCAAATCGTGTCGATGTTCTGTATTTACCACAGTGAACTGATAAGTATAATATGCCACATGATATGCTGAAATGTAAATTAAAATTAAGCAACAGAATTTTGACTAGCTTTGAAAGAAACATACGAATAAAAAATATCCACATCAACATTTTTGATACACATAATTCCATAAAATGGCAAGAAATATATAACTATCTGAAATAAAATAATAATTATCATTTACCGATTGCGAAAGCGGCAACAACTCTCATACAAAATGGTCCGCCATTTTTTAATGCTTCAAATTGCACAAACCGTCGTCGAACACGCGTATTATTGGGATACAATTGCCAGTATCCATAGTAATCCTCAACGTTGGAGTTTTTATTTGAAGAGGACATTTGAAACTATTCTAGGATTTCTGAAATGAAAACAGTGCATTTTGCTTTTCGGTGGTAAAAGAAATGACTTTTCCATGCTATATTAAACGGTTCTGCATAAATCCACAAAATTACGAAACGTCTAAAATGTAACCAACTTGCGACTCAAGCAAACACAATAGTTGGACAACACGGTTCGAGGAATCAAGTTAAATATTGCAAAATAACCTTTTCCACTTCAGATAGGCTGGCTTTAAGGCATAATTTTTATAGATATCTCTGCTTGCATAAATGACGAAAGGATGGCTTCCTTAATTAGCTAGGACACTAATATTTGTAGCACAATATTTTAATTTGTAAATTCAGATTAAAAAAGGATTCCAATAAAATGAAATAATAAAAGGCCTAATAACTCAAATTATAGCGTCGAACGGTAAGCACAACACGGAAATAGTCCATATATAAAATGAACTTTATTTAGTTCAGTGGTACCATACATACACAACATTATATTTTGGAAATGAAATGAGAAGTACAGCTTACCGTAAAAAGTTATTTATGAAATGTCTGTTTACTGCTAATTAATTCGTTGTCAGTCTTTCTGAATTTGTAATATTTGACACTGCCCACAACTAAATAAATGATTCAGATTTCTAGTGGTTCATTTATTGCACTTGATTTTCAAACCGTAGATTAAATTTCTTCGGTCACTTTGTAAATCTGAATAGCATTATGAGTAGCCCACTTCAAAATAGTGCAGTTTGCAATTTAAATTTCAAGTAATAAAATTCCAAACTAGATTTCCAACTTTTCGCTTAATTAATTCATAAAATTCATTGATAAAGTTGGGAGCTGACAATAAGTTGTTTAGGCTAATATTTTAATTTTTAAGTGCATCTTAATAAAGCTCAAAAATAATATATGAAAAATGATTTCTAACACTGCAATTTTTCACCTTCAAATTCACCATGTATTCAATTTATCAATTTTAAAACAAAAACTTACGTGCAGCAATGTACAACGTGATGAAGGCAATATTTTTATAACGTGGCCATGTGTTATAAAAACGTGACTGTAAACGTTCGTTTAACTTGAACATTGATCACTTATAAGAAGTAAACTGAAAAATTAATGAAACAAACATCCCGGTACTGCCAACGATTGACGGAAGAGATAAGGAACACTTCTGCAATGAAATCAGTACTTCCCGGTTTCCTAGTTTTGCAAACCGGCTTTTGTGGGGTTTACAGTTTGTGAGGTTTCTATTTTTTGTTAGATTGTACAGTTTTAGTTATTTCCCTTTTGTGGCTTACGTAGGCGTTTTTGATAGGTAATATTTAGAATGAAGTTTTGAGATATTCCTTTCTTAACATTCTAATTTTGGATATCAATGAGATTCTAGAATGTCTTATTCTTTAGATAGTGTAATGAATGTATTCGTACAGCATATGATATACGATTGTGATATCACTTTATATATGAAGTCAATTCACTCATATATATTCATACATTTAAGATATAGATACGGAATCATTTCGGACATGAGATCATTTTAGACCTAAAACCATTTTACTGTGATAAATCCTAAAAGATTTGTTTGAAAGCCAGGATGTATTTTGATTTCATATTCGGAAAGGAACTGTTAAAAACTATGGCTTGCCTGATTAGTGAATGAATTGAGTAAGCGAAAAATGGAGAGGTGGGAAGATTAAAGATTGATCTCATCCAAATCTGGATGAGTGTGATCCTGGTGTGGTGATATGCTGCGGTCGGGAATGGTAAATAATAGAATGTATGGATATATGGGATGATTAGATTGATCCTGACCTACTTCAGATAATTCTTTAATTTTTTTCAAAATTGTCTTCAATTTTTGCATATTCTTTGTTTCTTTCATATAATTATTGCTTATTTTTTCCAAATAAGATCTGATTTATGTTCTGCATGTTTTAACCTTTTCAAATAGTGGCGAAATAATCAAAAGGTTATTATATTTATATAGCTAATTAGTTTCTAGATAGCTAAAAAAGAAACGTGCAATTTATAATGTCTGCAAGTGGAGCACAACAGATGGAATTGGATGATGTGCAGCAACCGCCCGGTACTGCAAGTGTTTCTGGGAAAGAGAAGAAACGTTTTGAGGTTTTCTTCCGTTCCTTTTTATGTTTTTCTCTTTTTACTCCTTTCTTCTCGTAGACAAGTTCAAGCTCTCTGCTGTACAATTTCAGTATTCAATTTAGTCGATATCAGGTTGGGATTTAAGGTTATTTTATATTGCACTTCGTGCCTTGTAATCTTTCTGCATTATTCCATTATTATAAGTTCATTAAATTTCAAATATGCGGTTAACTCTTTCGGCTCATTTTTGCATTGCTTCAAGTTCTCTTAGATGAGAAATATTGAAAATGAAAGTTTGCTGAAACAATAAAATTTTTTTTTAATGTCAAATTTTAGGTTAAAAAATGGAATGCAGTGGCCCTGTGGGCTTGGGATATAGTTGTTGATAATTGTGCAATTTGTCGAAATCATATCATGGACCTCTGTATTGAATGCCAAGCAAATCAGGTAAATTAATACTTTTCGACAGTTTTTCAAAGATGTAGTTTTCGGTTGTTTTAGTTTTTTCAACTACTTCATTAATCATTTGCAGGCTTCAGCAACTTCTGAAGAATGCACGGTTGCATGGGGTGTATGCAATCATGCATTTCATTTCCACTGTATTTCACGTTGGCTTAAGACACGTCAGGTTTGTCCGCTAGATAATCGAGAATGGGAATTTCAGAAATATGGTCATTAGATATCCGCTTTTGAAAACCGGTACTGTATTTTTGATCTTGATGCTCTCTTTTTATAACTTTTTTACTGACATGATGTTTTGTATTGATTTGAAAATCATTTTAATTTATAGTTGTGAATTCAAATGTGTTTAGGTGCAGGATTATGTGATGTTAAATTGCAGTTTTTGTTCTTTAATGAATCATAACCTTTGCGATCTGACAGGAATGGAAGTTATTATTTTTCAATCAGTCCCAAATTTCGTGCTGAAGTTTTAGGGAAGCCAAAGTACGTGCATTGGAATTTTTCGGTTTTTGTTATGCCGTTATATAATACTTTCTTCCTGAAGTGAATATCTGTGTTATGAATTGAGCACAACTTCTTTCATATCATGAATTATGTTCGATTGATTTTATAATTACTTGACAAGAAATGAATTTTTTTTTCATATGTAGCAATGGCTTTCTTTTACTTTATTTCACTCAGAGTAAAAACGATGTAATAGCTATTTTACTGAGCAAGCAATTTTTGGTTTACTCAAGTTAAAATTGGAACTTCAAAAATTCGAGCAGTGAAAAATGAATTTGAAATTTAAATAAATTTGAATAGAGATCTTAAATTGGTTGAATGCTTTTGATTTGACGAATTTCAAATATAAAACAGAATCTACTTTGAAAATTCGTAACATTTTGCTAATAAATGATGTTGAACGGTTGGTTAACAAGTTTACAATGTTGTGTGGTAATACTTGCAATAGTAAATCTTTCGGGATTATTTCGTCATACAAAGGCTACATTATCATTAGCAAAAGAAGATCAGGATCAGGCTGGTTATCGTTATGTTTTTTTATGATTACCACTTGCAGTGCTAATTGCTTTTATCAGATAACTGCTCTTTTTTCTTTGTCATTCAAGCAATTAATTATGCCGTTTGCAAGATTGCTTCTAATTTCCATCATTTTGATGTGGTTTATTCAGCTAATATTTGTTAATCTAAAATTGTTTTTAATTCTAATATTTGTGTGCAACCAATTTCAAATCGCCAAATTTTTATAATAGCTTCATATCTCGGAAAGAAAGTTGTAGGAAAAGCAAGATCGAATTCTCATCCTTTATCTTATTGTAAACTTGCCTCGGATAATTTCTCAGTACTCAGTAACAAGCTATAATGCATCACTTCTTTTAGTTTAAATTACTTTCTTCACCAATCTGCAATTCACAACTGAAATCTGATCCAATTCTGAATGATGGGGCTGTGAAGTAGAAATAAATATTACGGAAGCATTAAAATTTATTTTCACTAAAATTTCCCAAATTTGGAATTAAGCTTTGGGTTATTTGTGATTGTTATACACGAACAATAATTAGGGACGATATTGTACATGGAACAATTATGATCCAAGTATTTTAAATTTCAAAGAACGTGATATACCAATCGCTTTAGTATTTGCTATTGATCATAATTTAACACCGATAAAGGTAAATATATTCCACTAAGATTTAACTAATAGTTGAATTTGGAATAAATGAAATAACTGGTTTTAATAAAATAAAAGCATCAATAAAAACTCTCTAGGATGATGAAAATGCAATTTAGTTAATTAATTTTTTCGTTAAACATATGCAAAAACAATTAATTAAGTAATGCTTTAATCTTGAAGTAATATATTTTAAAAAATAAAGAAATGATGCTTCTAAATTTAATTGAAAGAATTTAAATCTGAAACAGAATTTTTTAGATGAATGAACAATAGAAAAACAAATTAATTATAAAATGATAATAATAATTGGAATAAGGAAATCGAATGTTTAAAAATATTCTTATCAACTCATATCATTTCTGATAATTTAAATATGCAATTCTTCATTTCTAAAAATATAATTTAAAATAAAATTTCATAATCATCTGATCATCAAATTCTAATGAAATATTTTTTAATGAATTAAAATATATAAAAGATGAAATGATTTATTCCATTTCATATCAACCAATTAATTATTAATTTAAAGTTAAAACAAGTATTGGATACATATCATGCTGTAGCTTGCTTATTACCAAATGATTCAAATTATTTATATGCTGTCGTTTTACATCTACCGAAATATCCGAAATTATATTTTGGGAAACTTTTGAATACCGATAAATTGCATCAAAGTTTTGAGGATGCTGGTCAAGCAACTAAAGGTCACTAATAGTTTTTATGTATGAATTTCTAAGAAGACAAAAATTAAAATTCGAAAATTCCTGAAAATATTCAATGGAAATGGATGTAAGAGAAATGGAAATATTAGTATTGAACTATTCATATTATTTCAATTCAACATTTTAGCTTATGGATGAACTGGATACTCTCAATTTCATTATTAGCTGCCACATATTGTTTTAATAACCTTTCGATAATCTTTTAAAATAATACTTATCATAATGAATTGACCTTTATCATATTTCCTCTATCAATCTCATATTTTAGGCATTAGTCGCTCTGTTATTATTTTCAATTCCTATCATCAGTCTAAATCTCTAACTCCACCATAAGATGAAAAACTTTGTATTATTTTTTCAAGCCTTAAATTATGAGAGTTAACCTTTAAATGACCTTTAAGGTGATAGACAAATTGGAAATGATTCATGCTATCTTATACGACAAACAATCCATGTAATAAATAGTTGGTTAACAAAAGCATTTTTTTATGAAAAAGTAATCAAACATATTTTATTTATTAATGATCGCACCGATCAATGTATTATACCCAAATATTTGCATGGAATTTATCATAAAGGTTAATTATCCTATAAATACAAAAAAATTTTTCCATTAATTAAAATGAAATTTAATTAATTGAAATTTCAAAAGATAGTTTTTTTATTTGACCAAAAATTAATTTTTGATAATATTTTTTTTATTACCTCATAATTGATAATTAATAGAAGAAATTAATTGAAATTGCTAATTAGATTGTTATCAAAAAGAAAAGCAAAAAATTAATTTAAAAAAAAGTGACTAAATAAATTATTTAAAAATATTTTGATAATTTATTAGGCAAAAATGAGAAATAAAAAAATCTTTTATTAATTTCTGTTTTTAATTAATTTTTTTGTTTTCAGGAAATTTCTTTCATTTTAGTTTATTATTGAAAAATTAGCTAGAAGCAAATTGACAAAAGAATTAACTTTTATCTCGTTAAATTTTATCAAATCCATTCTTTTGTTTTAGGCCATAAACAACAACGTTGGCTTATTAATAAAATAATTTTAAATGCAACAAACTTAATCCATTCCAAATATCAATTGGAACGAAAGAATAATATCGCCGAACAATTAAATGATAGTAAAAATCGAAGTATTTTTGATGGAACTCGTTTGTTACTATCCAATTTAATTAATCAATCACAAAATGGTAAATTAATTTGTAATTTTAAACTTAATAATTAATTTAAATATCAAATATTTAATTGTAATTAAATTTAATGCATACAGTTGTGTTAATATAATTAAAGAGAAAAAATATATTAATTAATTACAAAATTTTGATATACTTTTTTTTAATTTAAAAAAAATCTTTTAAATCGATATTATTTATTTGTTTGTGCCCATTATATTCATTTATTATCTTCGATATAATTAAGTTTAATTATTTGCTATCAATTAGTTGGAATAATTTTAAACATTTTTAACAATCTTATTTTTATAGAATTTGTCAACAAAAAGATAATTAAAAAATCGCTAATCGAATTTTTACGCGAAATACTATTTGAATCAATTATCGCTGATGCGATATTTAGTACGGATTTAACAGATAATTGGATCAAATATGATTTTGTAGATTTTAAAAAGCGCTCACAACCATCGGTAATAGCATTCGAAGGGTAATATATAATTGTTTGTTTATTTGTTTGTTTGTTTGTTTGTTTGTTTGTTTGTTTATTTGTTTGTTTGTTTGTTTATTTGTTTATTTGTTCGTTTGTTTGCTTGTTTGTTTATTTGTTTGTTTGTTTATTTGTTTATTTGTTTGTTTGTTTGTTTGTTTGTTTATTTGTTTGTTTATTTGTTTGTTTATTTGTTTGTTTGTTTGTTTGTTTGTTTGTTTGTTTGTTATTTGATTCTTTGATTTTAGCAAAAGTTTTAATTCGATTTTAAAATATTTAAAATTAAAAAAATATTCAGTAATGCTTTTTTGGGGCGAATAAAAATATGGGAATAAATGAGCATGAATAATTGATTAAAAATAGGAAATGAATTAAATTACAGATTCTTAATTATCAGAAAGAATTAATTATAATCATATATTTCATTATAAAATTTTTATTCGGATGAATAAGAATAAATGATTAAAAATAGGAAATGGATTAGTAAATTCTTAATTACTAGAAAGAATTAATTATAATCATATATTTTATTATAAAATTTTTTTTTTGAAATGAATAAGAATAAATGATTGAAAATAGGAAATGAATTAAATTACAAATTCTTAATTACTAGAAAGAATTAATTATAATCATATATTTTATTATAAAATTTTTTTTTGAAATGAATAAGAATAAATGATTGAAAATAGGAAATGAATTAAATTACAAATTCTTAATTACTAGAAAGAATTAATTATAATCATATATTTCATTATAAAATTTTTTATTCCAAATATTAATAATAATTTTTTGAGTAAATGTTTACTATCAAAATTTCGGTACTTTGTCATCTTTTGCATTTTGCAAAAAAATTTTTGTAAAATTTGAAAATATAAATTTAAAGCTGGACATGGTTGCTTAATCTTTTACGCGTAGTGTTTTTTCTTGTTGGCGCATTTGTTGTGATAATAACAACATGCGCATTATGCGGTTTTACCTGTGTTTTATCATCAATTGTACGTGATGATTATTATCGAAGGCGGCAAGCACGAGAGCGAGAACAAGAATTGCGCATTTTGCAAGAGCGTCTTCATGATGTTGGAATTGTAAGCTAATTTAATTTAGAATGTAAAAATTAACGAAACAAACGAATAATTTTTAATTGAAAGAAATTTAGAAAAACAAAAGCGATTGATTTTTTAAGGGTAAAAAAATTTTGAGTATTATTTAATGATTGATTGATAATTTTATTTGATAAAAATAATGCAAACAGGTACAGATATAACAAGTATTTAGCAATATCTTTTTCGTACTAATTTTTGCAGTTAAGTATGATAGTTATAATTAATAATTAAACAAAATGTTATAATTATTAATTAAATAAATAATTACAGTTAATAATTGAACAAAAAGTTATAATTAAATTGGAAAGTATAGTTGGCAATTAAATGAAAAAATATAACTAATAATTAAGCAGTTAAATATAATGAGTCATAATAAAAAATGTTATAATTAATAATTAAATAAAAAATTATAATTAATAATTAGGCAATCAAATGTAATGAGTTATAATTAATAATTAAACAAAATTTTATAATTTATAATCAAATGAAAAATCATAATTAATAATAAAATGGAAAGTTGTAAATAGTAATTGAACAAGAAGTTATAATTAATAATTAAACAGCCAAGTGTAATAAGTTTTAATTAATAGTTAAATTATTAAAAAGGTCTACAAGTTTTTACAACATATATCAATTTTTACAACGCTTACAACATATATCAATATACAACATATATTTTAAGTATGTAATGATTAATAGCAGTAGAATAAATTATCAATAAATAGTTTAACTTCGTCAATTTTAGTATTATAAATAAATTTAATAATAAATTAGATTCAACTTATCTACTGATAATGAATTAGAATATATTGCTAGGAATAAATTGAAGTGAGTGAATTTCATGGAAATTTCTTTCCTAAAAATTTTATTTCAATTTCATTTCAGAATGTTCATTTAAATCCATTCAATGATCAGCCTGAATTGGAGAGAGAAATTAATAATGAAATAAATACAGCTATCGAACAGTTAAGTGTGGTAAGTTATAAAAATTATTTGAAAAATAGAGGGAGAGTTGTTTGAAATTAAAATCTTCAAGAAAATGGAATTTTAGGATTTGCTAATTTTAAAATGATGAATGATTGTTAAATATTTCAAATATTTGTTAGCTAAATAATTAGCAAAATTAAAATAATTAAAATGAATAATTGAAATAAAGTGAAATAATTAAATAATTAAAATTTAATTTTTTTAATTTAATAAAATTTAATGGAAATTTTAATAACTAAATAATTAAAATGAAATTTTTATGAAAATTTTTTCAGAATTTATTTTTGTTTCGTAAAAATTTAAAACAATGAGAGAGAAGGAAATTTTAATTACAATTTAATTGCATTCTTTTGTTCTTCCTAATATGAAATGTTCATATTTGATTATTTAAGTTGCATTAAGGTAAATTGTAAATTTTTTTTTCTAAATTTGGTTTTCATAGATAAAAAAATTACGAATGAAAATTTGTCAATTTAGATATCAGAACCTGATTTTACTCAATCAAGTACCACATCATCAGATAGCGAAGGAATTCCATCGATAGTATCATCTTCATGGCCACAAGAACAAGTAATTTAAATTAATTTCTCTCTATCCTTTCTATTTTTTTAAATTTAACTTTCAACTGAAATAACTTTGCAATAAACAGTAGGAGAAAGAGTAAAGATTTTGTATATTATAATATACAGGTAGATATTGCGAAATGCAGGTAGATTTTGTTTTGCTATTAATTAACTATCAATTTTCACGTAATAAATTTTGTTTAATTACATAATTTTTAAGTTGATTTTATAAATTATAGTAAAAATTTTTAATTTTTGTTTTTCTAATTTCTATATTTTTTCCTATTTTTCTTTGCTTTTCTTATCACTTAAATTTATTACAAATCAAAAAAGGATCTTTTCCCCTATCACTGATAACTGTTATCATTTATCAGAATTGAATCATTTATCAGAGTAATCATTTATCAGAATTAAATCATTTATCAGAATTGTCATTTAACAGAATTAAATCATTTATTAGTGTAATCATTTATCAGAATTAAATGATAAATTAACTTGTAAAAAATTTATTATCAATTTTTATGCATTTCGTTTTGTTTGAAGACAGCAATATGCTCGGATGATAGAAGCAAAATGGAATCGATCATTGAAATGGAACGAATTGAAACTGATCAATAATTCAATGATCGATTATTCATTTATAAATTAGCAAATTTTTAAGTTATCAAATCATAAAAAAGAATATATTTATATATATATATATGTATAGTTTGATCAAATATTTGCATATTCGAAATTGAAATATACGTTTTTTCTTTCCTCTTTTATGATATCACCAAATGCATAATTACTGCATTTTATATAAATTTAAATTTTATGCAAAATGGATTATTGAAAGATTTATTTTATATGCAACGCATTTGAAAATTGTAATATAAACTTTTTACAATATTCAAAATGCATAATTATTATATTTTATGCAAAAATCAATTTCATCAAAATTCATTGCAACAATGAATGGTATTTCATTGCTCGATCGATCATCGATTAATTTTCTATTCAATAGTTTAAATCAATTTTCAGATTAATTTGGATGTTTAGGAATAATTTTAGGTTATATTAGGTTAAATTTCAGGTTAAACGTGTTTTTTTTTCTACAAAACTTTCAATCAAAATTTGCAAAATTATTTAAATATTATTCAATATTTGATTACTGCTAGGATATGAGCAATATTAATACTTAAATAAACCATTGATTTATTCACTCTTAATAAATATGTAGCTTAAATTCTTTCTTAAGTTGAATTAAGTTTAAATAATAATTAGTAAATTATGAATTGTAATATCAATATGATGAGATATTTAATTTACATATATGTATATCAATTAAGTTGTAATACAATTGGAAAATGTAAGAAATTGAAATTGAATGATAGGAAACGATGTTGATCAGAAGTTTTCTTTTAATAATGATTTTTGTTCCTTGCTCAATCGATCATCGAATTATAAAAATTTTGTTTTAAATTAAAAGTTAATCCAGTAGTTATGCGTCAATTAAATTAAACACTATTTTAAGGTAAAAATTTCACTCTAAATTAAATTGTTTTTATTAATTTAGGGTAAAATTTTTAACAAACAATTTAATTTAAACAAAATTTTTAATAAGCAATTTAATTAAAACAATGGAAGAAGTCTATTTTACATTTCCTTTCTTTTCCATTTCGCCCTTTCTTTAAGCTGTTTAGCAAATTTCAAATAATTCATTATTTTTTGAAAATTTTTAATTCAAAATATTTAAGCTAAATTTTGTCAAAAATTTACTACAATTATCACACAAGAGATTTATTATCAAACGATGATAATAGCACTGCAACAATATTCAACTCACACAAGAGGTTTATTATCAAACGATGATAGTAACACTGCAACAATATTCAACTCACACAAGAGGTTTATTATCAAACGATGATAATAACACTGCAACAATATTCAACTCACAAACGATGATAATAACACTGCAACAATATTCAACTCACAGAAGAGGTTTATTATCAAACGATGATAATAACACTGCAACAATATTCAACTCACACAAGAGATTTATTATCAAACGATGATAATAACACTGCAACAAAATATTCAGCAATTTTCAATTATAGGCAAAAAATTTTAAAAGAAAATTAAATAAATTAGCACGAAATATTTTAACAAATGTTCAATCCTCTATGATTTTAAACATTATCATATAATTTAAACTTTTTTTCATGTAATTTTAAATTTTTATTATTTTAAAAATGAAATGATCAAATCCTCTATGATTTTAAGCATCATAATATAATTTCAAATTTTTTTTCATGCAATTTAAATTTTTGAAATTTACAAAAAAAACAAAAAAAAAAATTCCTAATGATTAAATCCCTAATGATTAAAGATTTGCACAATAAATAAATAAATAAATAAATTTGTGTAAACAAAAAATTTTTTAATATAGCCTAAAAAAAAAAAAATAAAATGATAATGTATATAATTTGCATCGTTGCCTTTCTTACCAGTTTTTTTACCTAAATTTAAAATTGAATAATAGAAAATTGGTTTTTTCATTTCAACGAATAAAATGTTGAAAAAGAGAGTGGAAAATACGGTAGTAAATAGGAATTAGTAATAAAAACGAGTAGGTAAATTTTTGTGAATGATACAACAATGAAGAATGAAAAAAAAATTGGTAAATAAAATATCGAATTATTTTCTAATTTTTTGATTTATTGAGAAAATAGTTTAAAAAAAAAAAAATGAATAATATAATTGAAAATTGTATTTGTAAGAGATTTTTCATAAGAATTTTCGGAAAATTTGATTTGAAATTATCATTTGGATAATAAATGAAGCAGTATTTCTGTAATATTGTTTATTCGTTAAATTATATAAATCATTTTATTATATGTATATAGTATATTAAAGGCTGTACTACTAATGTTATTGCTAATTATTTATTGTTATTATTGTTATTGTTATTATTGTCATTATTATTACCATTAATTATTATTATTATTATCATTATTATTAGTTGCGGAGCTTTCTTCGATTCACTGTTATGATCATTTCTATTGTATAGACTATTCTAATGACGTTACTAAGGCGGAAGCATTGCGAACGGAATAAATAAGAACAAAATATGCAAACGAACCAACGAAGAA